CATTGTGCGGCTGGCGTAATCAAGGAAATGTGACCGTGTTAACTTGTGACCTGTGTTTACCTATTATGAGAATGAACCATAGTAGAAAGCTGACTACATTTTATGGTTTAGGATATTCAAGTACATTTCATAGACTCTCAGAAAATGTAAATTTGGTAAATTTGTGGCTACTATTTTGTGGCTGCTAACTTATGGTTTAATTACAATCGCTATCGTTAAACTATATTTACTATAGTAAAATGGTACATTTTCTTCAGAAACTATAGCTGATATCTCATTTGATGAACACATTAACGCTATTTCCAAGTTGTTTTGCCATTATTTTCTCGTAGAAATACTTTGGAAACATGATTTCTTTATTTAATTGTAGTGAATGAAATGACCCACCTCTGTGTCACTTTAGATGGCCTTTAAAAACATTTTAATGAGTTTTTAAAATATAGTTGGACCCCTTGAAGTGTAAAATACGTACATTCTAAATGTAGTATTGGATACATGCTAATATGTAAGGCAGTGAGCCGCTATCACAGCTTACTGTAGGCTATGGGGCATCCTTATATGCAATAACATAAAGCAGTGTTTTGCTGCGCTAATTTTGTTACTTTCCACATTGTGTATTTTTTCTGATTGTATATCAAAACATATGATCGTTTAGCTGAACGGTTTACGTAATTTATAAGCAGTATTTTGACAAGAAAATGATGTTCAGATTTCATATATTGTTATAATCAAATGAGATATCTAGTGAAGTAACACGTTTACAAAGTAATATTTGTAAGCAGAGTTTTTACTGGAAATAATGTTAATATATTGCAACAGTAAAATTGCGAGCAAACGCAGAGGTCACAAGTTAACACAGGCATATTCAAAGAATCAGTTTCAAACTACCTTAAGTCACAGCATAAAAAGAAGCTTGTGTACAAATAGAAATGTATCAGTGTGGTTGAATAACGTATTAGCTCAACGTGATTGCAGCTGTCGTATGCTAACATTAACTATTTTATGTGTTCGAAGCTGCTGTGATATTTTTTTATTTACTTATTTTATTTTCTTATGCTGATTAACCGTGTGAACATTTACAGTCTATGTTTAGCCTACATATCAAATGCGAATATATTCACAAGCAGAAAATAACTTATATATTTTATACTATTAGAATTATTCGGCTAGTGAACGCAAGTTACAAGGTAACGTTATAAAGTAAAAATATAACATTTATATCCAGCTTTTCGACTACTGAATAAAATTTAGGCTATATATATATATATATATATATATATAAAAATGTTATAATCAAATAAAATACCAGCTAGTGAACGCAAATCACAAGTTAACACATTTACAATGTAATATTTATAAGCAGCGTTTCAACTAGAATTTATCGTTTCACTACAATAAAGAAATCAAGTGACATGCTTCCAAAGTATTTCTGCGAGAAAATAACGGCAAAACAACGTCGAAATAACCAGAGGCCTCATGCCCGTTCAAAGTGAGGGGGCACGTGCCCCCTCAGATTTCTGAGCCAAGTGGATTTTGAATGCAGATTCCAAAACACAAAAAAAATAGCAGAATAATATTTTTTATATTTGACACAATCACACCGGTGTGATTAGATAGTTTAGTGCGGCACAGCATCAGCTGCTAAATTCAAATCTGCATTTGCGCTTTGGCTGGCGCTGAGCCAGCGACAGACGCATTTGTAGCGCTGCATTATAACCAATCACACACGATTCTGTTGAGCTTATGAATGCAATGACCAATCAAAGATGTTCAGATGAGTCATCGCTGAAACGCGGTGCTTTGTTCACTTGCTCGCTAACTGAATTATCTGGCGAATTCTCTCATTAGAAACAACAAAGTGCAGATGTGCTTACGAATGTAAGTAAGATATTCATTTCACAGTGTAAACCGCTTCAGTGATTTAAATGTGAGTTTTTGAGAGTGTGGGGCTGGACAATAATTCAATATCAATATGTATCACGATATAATTTTGTTTTCAACAAAAGGTGATATGATTTTTAAACACATTTCCGATATTTCAATATACATTACCAGTGTTTCCCATACATTGATTTATTTGTGGCATTTAACTTCGTTGAATAAACATGAGCACTGCACGTTTCAAAATCAAAACACGTCGTGTGTGTTTTATATGAATGTATCTCTGAAGGGAAAGGTCTGTCTTCAGTAAAGTTTCGATGGCATTTTCATTTTATCTGATAAAGAAGCTTTCATGAGTGGAGCTGATTTGATTACAGCCATTACTGGAGAAACCGCTAGTTCTACCGCTCTCAAAGTGCCTCCTGCTGGCAGACAATTAGGTCGCATTTTCAATAAGCCCGTCTCCAGCAACAAGGTTTTGTTGCTCTTTTTTTTTTTTTTTTTTTGCAGCGGAGCA